CCTACCTTGCTGGTGAGTACACAGGCAGTCAATGCTGTGTGCACCTAGTCAGTAACCATGGAAGCCAGGACTAAAATCCTCATTCTCTAGCCGTCTTGCAAAGGCAAGGTTCTCTCCATCTCTCCTCACCCAGCGAAAACCCAAGGCTGTCTTTGAGAGCCTTGGACCAAGTAAGCGAAGTAGGTGATGCCCCTGAAAGGGCCCATCTCCTGCACAGTCACACTCCACCCTGGGGATCCCTGCTCCAGGCAGGGAAGCCGCACATCAGGGTCCTCATCTGAGAACTGAATCAGGGTCCCCTGGGGGCTGAGGACCCTCAGGCATTCGGACAGCAGCTGGTAGGCCCCAGGCAGACCACCTCGGGCAACAGCATCCCAGGTGCCCTTGTCCAGCACTAGCTGGAAGGAGCCGGAAGCCACTGGCTCCAGGTTCTGGGCATCAGCCTGCATGAAGCGAAGGCGGGAGGCAGGGTGCCCAGGGCACAGGGGTGTCTGGCCTTGGCCACCTTCCAGGATGTTGTTCATGTGGGCCACGGCCACGGGAGAGAAGTCCACCCCCAGCACGTCCACTGGGTGTGGGCACTTGGCGTAGAGGCCTACACTCAGGCTGGAGGTCCCACAGCCCACGTCTAGCACCCGCAGCGGATGGGCAGCCTGGGCTCCCTGCAGCAGCGGCAGGAGGAGGCCCTGGGCTTCCTCATACCCAAAGAACCAGTCGAAGGTGGGGACGCTGCCCGGGCGGGGCTGGGCGTGGAGCTTATCCCAGAGGCAGCGGTCCGCCAGGCAGCTACCAGCCAGGGAGCCTGTGGACACGAGCGGAAGGCATGTCACCCGAGTACCGTCAAACCACCGCCAAAACGACGCGATGTGACCTGACCCTTCAACAGCCAGACTGGACCCCGGGTCAGGAAGAAACCGCCCAGCCTCCCACCGCCCATCTTTCCTACCCGCCAAGGCGCGGCGTGTCCCCGCGGCCCGGCTGGCCACCTGGAGGGCTCGTCGCAGCGCCGCCATCCAGAAATGCTGCAATGTTGCCCGAACTCCCCGCAGAAGCCTGAGATTCAAGAGGAGATTTGCAAAATCCGCTTCGTGCAATAACGTGTGCAACCTAACTCTGCAGCCGCGGAAAAAAGCACGCGGACACACACCTAAAACGGTACCACGGCCTTGGCCTTTATTGGTTGCAACGGGAAGTGGAAAAGGAGGGGATACGACAGCTCCGGATCCTGTGGCGGCTTCAGACCTGAAACAAGAGGAGGAGGCATGAGCACCCCTGGGGGGGAGCCCGCGGAACTTCGGTTCCGCCCAGCGTCTCGGAGACCCGTGTCCCGGCGCTTGAGGATAGAACCGGCGGACTGGCAACCGTCGGCACCGAAGACATGACGCCGGGGCCGGAG